TTGTAAGCTACTTGAAAGCAAGGATCACTTGATTTCTGACTTCCTATCCCCAGTACCTAGCATATGGAGTGGCAGAGGAGAGGCTGAAACTGATGATTGCCAGCTTGATTGAAAGTACTTTCAAAATGTACAATAAATTGATAGACAAATTATGTCACACATGTTATATGTGTGTATATGCATACATGTATGCGTATGTGTATGTGGCCACTAAACCTACATAGAGCTCCCTGAGGGCCACATACTGACTTAGAAAATCGCGCATAAAAGTTATCTATGTTCTACTGTATTTTTACCTATTTCAATTTCATTTTCACCTGGTTCTACTGCACTAGGGAGTGTTGCCTGGTGGGCCACGCGTGTTTGAAACCTTTGAACTGGAGAATCCATCAAATGGTCTGGAAGAGATTTTCCGCTTTGTCCACACTGAAGTCAGTCAATGCCTGTAACCCTGACTTCATTTCTTTGGATAATTACTGCAGCTAAAGGCCTTCCTTTCTCTCTCACCTCTCTACATCATCTGATACTGTTGACTCCTCTTGAGTTGATGTGACTCTGCTCTCTCTCTTAGTTCTCCTTCTACCAAACTGCTCCTCCTTGGTCTCCTTCACTGGATCTTCACTCTACGTGCGGATGCCGCCCACGGCTCTATTCTGGGCCTTCTCTTCTCTCCGTATATCAGCTCCCATTTATCACCTCTAGACAGATAATCCTCAAATCTACATATCTTACCCTCATCCTTCTCCAAGCTCCAGTCCCAAATCACAAATAACCTATTAAACATTCCAAAATTTATGTCCTTTAGTCATTCCAAACTCAACTTATTCAAAATGCAACTCGCTACCTTCCCCTACTCCTCCAGCCAGTTACTGTTCTGAACTTCCGTGTTACTACCAAGGGCACAACCATCCTGCTAGTCATCCGGGCTCACAACTTCAAGGTCATACTTGACTCCTCTCTCTTTCCCATCCAACCCACTTATCCAGTTGCCATCTCTTACTGTTTCTACCACCCCAGCATCTTTCACATTCATTTTTTTCCTCCGATCACAAAGCTACCGGTTGAGGGCCTCATCACCTCTCACCTGGCCTATGGTAATATTCTTAATTCAAGGTGTAGCTAGGTGGTGCAGTGGATAGAGCACTGGCCCTGGAGTCAGGAGGATCTGAATTTAAATCTGGCCTCAGGCACTTGACACTTCGCAGCTGCGTGACCCTGGGCAAGTCACTTAACTCCAACTGCCTTGCCAAAAAAAAAAAAAAATTCTTAATTGATCTCCCTGTCTCCATTTTCTACATGGATCTCCAACTCACCCTCTACACAGCTGCCAAAGTGATTTCCCTTAAATGCAGGTCTGACCATGTCATTCCCTGGATCAACACCAATGCGAGTGGCTGTCTAGCACCATTGGGATCAAAGAGAAGGTCTCCTCCCGGGCACTGAAAGCTCTTCACAGCCTGGCCCCAACGTCCTTTGTGCCCTCATGACATGTCACAACCCTTCCCTCACTCTACGGTGTAGCCAAACTGGTCTTCCTGCTGTTGTTCCACATATGAGGCACGCTACCTTCAATTTTAATGCGCCAGCTAGGCCTGGAATGCACTCGTCCTCTCCTCTTCCCTCCCCCCACTTCTTGTTTCCTTGAGGACTCCGATTAAGCACCACCTTCTACAAGGGCCTTTTCTGACTTCCTTCCACCCTCGGATGCTAGTGTAATCTCCCTAAAAAGGACACAAAAAACCCACCTTGTATCTATTGTGTATGTAAGTACCCATGTAAGTACATGCTTGCCTCCCCTGATAGAATGCAAGCTTCTGGAGGGCAGGCACCATTTCACATTTGCCTTTGTATCTCTGGGTGTCCTGCACAATGCCTGGCGCCTAGTAGAGGCTGAATAAATGCCTGCTGAGTTATTGACTAGATCTTGCAAGAAGAGAGAAACTATAGGAAAAGAAAAGTGGCAAGACAGAAATCTTCCTTAAGTTAGTAAAAAGATTTTCATTCTTAAGACAATGATCTAAAAAAATTATATTTTAACTTTTTCTAATCAAGTTTTTGTTTTATTTTTATTTATTTATTTATTTTTTTGCTTAGGCAGTTGGGGTTAAGTGACTTGCCCAGGGTCACACAGCTAGTAAGCGTCAAGTGTTTGGTCTGAGGCCGGATTTGGACTCAGGTCCTCCTGACTTCAGGGCCAGTACTCTATCCACTGCGCCACCTAGCTGCCCCGAGAAGTTTTTTTTTTAAATTACTATTATGATATATTTTTTAAAAACACAATCCTAGGAAGATTGAACTTACCCATAAGTGCTATTCATGGGGGTGAGTTCCCATATTACTCTGCACAGGGATGCATGAAAGACATGATTAATTTTATTTGACTTAGCATGCTAATTTATTTGACTTAGCATGACTATATAAATGACTCTCAGCAATGACTCTATAAAAGGTAGTTGAAATTTGGGACATACATTCCACAGACAGAATGAGGCTGAGATCTACATTTACTTTATTTAATTAAAAGAAGAATTCTATTTGAAGCTTCTAGTAACTCCATGCAAACCATAATACCTACTTGAGAAGTTCTATTAGCCGTTCTTCAAGGTATTTCTTAGTTTTGTTCAGATCATCCAAATTGGCTAGCATCTGCTGTTCATTTTTTTCTCGATCTGCCATCTCCTGGTTGAGCTTGTCCCAATGTTCTTGGACCTTTGCATCTGATTTTTTGAGTTCCTTTTGCATCCTAAAAAAGGAATTCAAAGATTGTTTGAAATCAGTTCTCACTCCTACAGCCTCACACTAACCACTTCTAGCATATTATACAAGGTCTAGTGAAGCCAGGGTTCCCTGCAACCACTACAGTGGCCCTTCCCTTCCAATAAGAGTGTTTGACTTTTTTATAAATGCAGTGATGCTCTCAGTGCTGTCTCAGCTAGCAGTTTTATGCCTTCGTTCACTGGCCTTTTGTAGACTCACATCTTGGCCAATTCCTTTCTGGAATTATTACGTGTAAAACTATCAGATGCAGAGGAAATTCTGGGAGACTAAGCCTTGCTCGATACTATGAGATTAAGCTCCAGGTCTGCTAAAATCTCCTTCAGAACAGCATACTGTGATATGCCTGTACTACGCCATTTTTCTTACTCTATAATTTAACTCTCTATAACTACCTTATCTTCATCTTTCTCCAAGGTAAAGAGATCTCCAAATGGATCCATAAAAGCACATTGCTCTACAAGGCATTCCCAACAAACCTAAGTCTTATTTCACGTTGCCTCCCTCCTTGGATTTACATATCCAGCCAAACTGCACTGGCTAACCCCATCCCTGCCTTTGCTAATGCCATTCCCTAATTCCTGGAATATCTCCTTCACTCCTAACATCATCTGTTCAATACTTATTCCTCTTAGAAAGCCCAACTCAAATGTCTCTTCGTCTACGACACCTACTTGAGCAAACCTCTAGTCAGCAATGACATCCCCTTTCCAATGATTTAAATGGTGTTCTGCCCCTCTCTTATGTACTTACCACGTATTATTTTATATTACAGTTATTTGTGTACATGTCACATCTCTCCCTCACACATACACCCCAGTCCATCAGAGCAGGAATTATGTGTATCTAAAATTTGTATCTTCCCCAGTACCTAACATAGTGCTATGTATGCAGTTGTAGCTTCATAAGTGTTTGATGAATAACTTAATTTTTATCAGCCAAAGAGGAGGCAAGTCCTGAATGGGGTCTATATACCACTGCAGATTTATAATATTTAAAAACAGAGCAGAGAAAAATATTTTGGGTGCTATATATCCCAAAAAGTAGACTTCTAGTGTCTCCTGTGGTGATAGGCCTGGGTAAAGGAGGTTTGGAACAGGGTTAGAGGAGAATTAAGACATTCGCATGTTCTCAGGAAAATGTGATTTCCTTTTTGTGTCAAATTGAATTGTAATATGAAAATACACACTGTTAAGTCTTTTTTAATTAGATATTTTATAAGGCCCTGAAGTTTAAAGATTGGTACAGTCTTTGAACTTACTGGGTAAAAGTCAGGAACTGTGAGTTCTATCCAAGCACAAAAGAGCTTGAGCTCTGCCCCCCCCACCCCCAGCCCATGCAAAATTTAAAGGGCACACATTTCAGGGCCATGAAAGGAATGGAGAGCATGATCCGCATAACTGCTAGAGACCCAGGAGGCTAGCATCCAAAGTCAAAGCTGGCTTTCCTCCAGGCTGATGGCTAACCTTTGACAACACCACACTTAACACTGTGGTGTGACATTTTACACAGGAAATAACAATGGGGGCAGAGAGATACACGGCTTTAGTGTGAAAATGTAAACATCCCCCCAACCTCTTATTCCCTTCTAACTGTGCTGGCACCCAGGTCACTCCACTGAGCATCCTGAAGCATCCTCTTTCCCAGATAAGAAGACTCCTTTAGAACAAACCACAATGGACCGTAACACTCCTCAGCCTGATGTGATGGTGAATTTTCCATAGTTACTGGAGCAGGCAAGCTGGGCTTGGTGTGTTGTGGAAAGACTCGACTAAGAAATGTGAAACCCAGTGCTTCCTGACTTCCTGGTTCTTATACCAAGAAAGCTTCCCCTGGTAAAGGCCAGAAGTCATTTGTTTTCTGTTCTCTTTTTCATCTGCACCCTCTGTTCTCTGACAGCACTACAGAGCCAAGGGAGAGGGAGAAACAACCTTTCCAAACTGGCATTCAGGGCTGCGACTTCCTCTTCCTTCGCTATGACAGTAGCTTGGTACTTGGCCAGTTGTTCCATTGAGCGCTCCAATTCCTTCCCCAAACCTGCTTCCATAGCCTAACAAATGAGATCAAGAAACAACCAACAAAATTATCCAAATCAGAAAGCCCAATTTTCAGAGAACACAAATGAGATGCCTGCTGTGTCACCGTTGAAAAGGAGATGAAAGGAACCAGAATGGGAGGTGTGATGATGACAGAGAGATGAGAAAGAGGTAGACAAGAGGGGCTGACATAAGAGTGAATGAAAGTAGGCTGGAAAACACAGGCCATGGACAGCCAGCATCTAGCCACATCCACTTCTCGACATACAGATGACTTTAAACACCGAACAATGAGTTTCAAACTGATAAATGAAAATTTCACAGTGAGACTCAATAGCCAGACTTGCAAATCATCACAAACAGAGTGAGGATTTGTGAGAAGGCGAGATGCCACAAGAAAAGTATACAAATAGCTTCAGGCTATCTCAGGCTGATCTGATGCATGGCTACAGAGGCCAGCCACTTCACCACCCCCGGACCCCACTGGCCCCAGAGTCACCTATCATGAGGTTCCTTCTGTGCTCTCTGGGAGAGAAACCCAGGCCTACCTTCAGCTTTGCAGTCTCCTCTTCGGCTGCCCTTAGCTGCCCATCTTTTTCTTCCAGTTGACCCTTTAGATTCTTACACTCTTCACTCACTGCCTGGTATGGGCAAGATAGGAAATATTGAAGTGGTAGACACAGCTGAAAGGTCCTAACCTCTGGTACAAACGATTCCTTCCTTTGTCTAAGTTTGCTGCTTCTAGGGAGGGGCCACCTCAGAAAACCACCCCCTGGGTCACCCAAGGCCATCAGCCAATTGAATCCTATAGGCATGGTGATCACACCAGCCTTGACCTTTAACTATAATGCTTAGTGCAGATTTTGGCCCTGGATTCCAAGGACAAGGTTCTATTTTCTTTAACAAGTCAAAAATGTAAAAGAAATATAAGGCGTGCTTATGACCTTAAGTTAGGACACACATACCGGAGAGGCAGGTGGGCAGCTGCCAAACTGGAGTAAGGCTAGGATCTGACATCAAACCTCCTATTTGTCTTGTCACATACCTGATTTTTAACTCCAGGATTTTAATTCTGTAGATAGTTAGATATACAGCAGCTGCAGACCTCTCCAATCCCAAAGTTTTTATTAAAACAAGTCAGGACATTTTTCAGAAACTATAACCATAACCTGGTGGAATAGAACATCCAGTCCCATGGGCCTTCAGGTGAATCAATCAAGATAGAGGCCAAGTGTTATCTTTAGACACCTGGACATACCAACTTAATGGCATAGTGGATAGAGTGCTGGGCCTGGAGTCAGGAAGATCCAAGTTCAAATGCGGCCTCAGACACTTACGAGCTGTGTGACCCTGCTCAAGTCACTTAACCCAATTCTGCGTTTAGACTTTGTGGAGAACAAGATTTGGACAGAGATGTATTTCCCTAGTAACATGAAATATTTGGTTGCGATTAGACATTTGAGAAGGACAGACGGGCTTCGTCTGGGGTATTAGATGCCTCTTAAACCCAAAGAGCCCATGGGTTTATCAGAAGGAGGTTGCAGCTCCCGGTCACAAGTCACAGAAACCTTAACTCTGGGATAATATCTGCTAATTACCTTGAGCTTGGCTTGGCAGTTCATGATCTCTGTGCTCATCTGGAATTTCACTGTGGAGAGCTCTTCTTGACCAGCCTCCCGCAAACTCCGGGCTTGCTTCTCGACCAGGCTCAGCTGGCTTTGCAGGTTGGGCAGCATGCGGGCACTCTCCTGGGCCACCTTCAGTTTCTCCTGCAGGCTCTCCGTTTCCTTCCTGAGCCCTTCCAACTCCCGCTGGAGGCCTTCACGTTCCCTGGAAGCCCTCTCTTCAGCCTCCTCGAGCCTCTGGGAGGCCTGGGCAAGCTTCTCTCCGACCTGCGCCTTCTCTGCCGTCAGAGCACAGACCTGAATGCCGAGCTCGGCCATGTCTGTGTTGGCCCGGTGGAGCTGCTCCTGGACCTCGGCATGCTCCAGCTGGGCCAGCTCGGTGTCCTGTTTGGCCCGGGACAACTCTTCCCGGAGCTGCCTCTCCCGCTCAGCCCTTTGCCGGGCCTCTCCGTCCTTCTCCTCCTTCAGCACGTGCTCCCTCTCTGTGCACTGGAGCAGCTCCTGCACGTGAGTCCTGTTGAGGCCCTCATTCTGCTCCTTCAGCTGCTGGACCAGGCTTCTGTTCTCCTCCAGGAGGGTCTCCGCCACCTCCAGCCGGCTCTGGGCCTTCTCCTGGCCTTCCAGGGCCCTTTGCAGCTTGGTTCGGAGCTCGACCACCTCTGCCTGCGACCTCCTGGCCTCATTCTGGTGGATCTCCAGCTGCTTCTGCATCAGCACCAGATGGGAAGCTGGCTCTTGGGTCCCTTTCTCCCAGTCCAGGCTTTGCTCCAGCTGGGCTGTTTTCTCCATCATTCCCTTTTCTAGGCCGAGGCCCTCAATCAGCTGGGTCTGATGCCGGCACGTGCTCCTCAGGCCCTTCATCTCCTCCTCGTGGGCCTTGACTTGCCTCTGATACCTCTCCACCTCTGCCCGCAGCTGCCGGCACTCGCCCTCCTTGCTCTGGACGGCCGCCTCCTTCTCAGCCACCTGGGCCTTCATGGTCTCCTTGGCCTTCTTCACGGCGAGGAGGCTCCTCTCCATCTGGTCACCAATGTGGCGGATGCTGGCCTGCTCTGCTTCCAGGGAAGCCAGGGAGCCCTTGATAGCTGCCTCGCGCTGCCTCAGGTCTTCGTAATCCACCTGCAGGGCCTTGAGCTTGTCCTCGAGGATCTGGTTTCTGTGGAGGGCACTCTGAAGTTCCTCATCCCGCTGCCTGTTTCCCGCCTGGAGCTCCTCCTCCTCCTTCTCACTGACGGACACCTCGCCGCCCGGGCCCCGGAGCGGGGCCGCTCCCAATTGCGACGAGGCACTGGCCTCCTGGGGTCCCTTCCGTTGCTCTCCCCGTTTCTGCCCGGCCTGAAGCAGGAGGGAGTCCCCCGAGGTCAGCTCCTTGCTCTTGTCCCCGGCAGCACCAAGCTCCCGGCTCTGCTGCCCAGTGACGTATTCCAGCTCCCCCACCTTCTGGTGGAGACGGTCTCGGTCACTGAGCAGCTGTTTCTGCTGCTCTTCCAGATCGCTTACACGCTGGTTCGCCTGGGACAACTGGGCTTCGAGGAGCTGGAGCTGCCTGGTCAGGGATTTGGTCTCGTCTCCATGAAGCCTCTCTTCCTTTCTTAACTCCTCCAATTCCTTTTCAAGAGACCTTGAGCTCGCCAGGGATTCTGTGAGCCGGAGCTGGAGATCAGTCACTTCCTTCCCTTTTGATGACAGTTCTTCCCGTAAAGGCTCCATCTCCTTGACTAAGCCCTCCAGGTCACTGAGCAGCTTCCTGTTTTCTTCTCGGGAGCTAGTGGCCAAAATGCTGAACTTGGACTCAAGCTCTCCGTGGGCCTCCTCCTTCTGTTTTAACTCCTTGGTCAGCCTCTCCAGCTCCACCACTTGCTTCTCCACTAGATCCTGGAGGTCCTGGGAGAAGGTGACTTGATCGGATGCCTGCCGGCCCCTCACGTCCATCACTGTGTCTCCTTCCGCCACTGTCTCCAGGTTCCTCTGCTCAGCCGTGGCCAGCTTGGCCTGGAGGTCAGCAATGCACTGGTCTTTCATGGTGGTGGCGGCCCAGGCCGTCTCCAGCTGCTGCACCAGGGGCTGTAATTTTGACTCCAGATGTTGCAGGGTTGAGTGGTATTCCTTTTTATTTTCAGCTGTGCCCAGCTCCAACGTCTTCAGACACTCCTGTAGCTCCTGCAGGGTGCTCTGAGTTGACTGGGAGATGAGACACTCCTTCTGGAGCTCGGCCACCCTTTGGGTTAGCCGGGCATTCTCCTCTGTCAGGCCTCTTCCCTTCTCCTGCTCTGCCTGGAGGCTCGCGGCCTTCCTCAGTTCCTGGTTCTCCCTCTCTAACTGCTGCAGGCGATCCTGAAGCTCCTTTTCCCTTATCTCTAAATGGTCCAGCTCTACACGCATTTCATCGAACCCTTCCAGGGCCTCTGCGTTCATGGAGCTGTTCACATCAAAGCTGGAAGCCAAGTCTTGAGTCTGGGGAAACAAAAGCAGAATATATATATATATATATATATATATGCGCAAACATTAGTACATCTTCAGGAGGACCAAGCAGCTAACTGTGGAAGTGAAAAGCAGGGGAGATTAAATGGTGAAAGATGACCACTGGAGACAGCAAGATGGCACAGTAGATAGAATGCTGGTCCTGGAGTCAGGAAGACTTGAGTTCGAACTGACCTCAGACACTTACTAGCTGTGTGATCCTGGACAAGTCATTTACCTTTCCTCAATCTTAGTTTCCTCAGCTGTTAAATCAGTATAATAACAGCACCTACCCCACAGGGTCACTGTAAGGATCAAATGAGTTTAAATATGTAATGTGCTTTGCAAATGTTAAGGCACTAAAGTAACAAATTCTACCTATTATTAACATTACTACCTCATTCAAAAAATTTATTCTTTATTAAAATAATTCTCCTACCAGCCCTGTCTACATTTGAGGCTGGGGAAACAGAAGCACAGATCAAACATCCAGTGACTCAGAACCGGAGATTCTGATGCCTGTTACCTCTGGGTGGCTCACCTGTCCCCTACTGAATCCCCCGAGGGCGGAGCTTCTGCCTCCTCCTTGAGCCCTGATGTAGCAGACTGTGCCCAGCACAGAACGGGGAGTAAACTCATTTAAGAAACTTCCCCTTTAGGTCCCTAAACTGAATGTGACCCTCTTACATAAACAAATGAACTTTATAGAATTGTGTTCCCCTCTAACATCTTACTAATAACGCCTGAAAAGATTTTAAAAAGTCTTCCTCCTTTCTTAGCACAGATATTGGAGTGGTCTGCCATTTCCTTCTCTGGCTCATTTTACACATAAGGAAACTGAGGCCAACAGGGGGAAGTGACTTGTCCAGGATCACAGAGCTAGGAAGTGTCTGAGGTTAGATTTGAACTCAGGTCCTCCTGACTCCAAGGCCAGCACTCTATCCCACTGCATTTTATGCTTGATAGTGATCTTCCACTATTAGTCAATTTCTATATAATTTCCCCTATCCTCATATGTTACTGTACTGAAGTTGTGTCTTCTGTCATTATAATACATGTAGATTTCTAGATGCTCAAGGAAGTAGCAGAGACAAACACGCTTCATTTTGTTTGTTTTGATTATAAAATGGGTCTTTGCACTGTGTTTCAAAAACCTCTGAAGAAAGATTCAGAAGCCCCTACAAGGGAACAGGGAGTAGAGAGGAGAGCTCTTCAGCTCTTCAATGCCTCTCAGGCCTCAGATCATGATTCATTTCTAAGATCATCAAGTCACGCCAATAAGCACTTATTAAGTGACTACTGTACGCTGGGTGCTGTGCCATGTGGAAGAGCCCATCTGAATGCCTCCGATTAAACAGACAGGGAAAGGGCAGGCTCCTGTGCAATTACCTGCAGATAGCTGCTCACCAGACTGCTCATACTTGAACTCCGACTTGGGGGTTTCCACAAGTATGCTGACGATCCAAGGGAGGCCAGAGTCCTCCTGCGAACCACAAGAAAGACGCTGTTACCTAAACAGGAAGCCACAGAGATCTTTCCCTCAAGTGTCTTACTGAGCTTCATCTCTACATGACCATCTCTCTGCTTCCTGGATGCCCATGGATCAATGATACTTATCAAGGCATATGTCACATTCACAAAGCAGAACGGAGCCCCTGGAGGGCAGGGGCTGGTTGGTTTTTGTCTCTGTATTCCTGGCACACAGCTCAGTGGCTCGAATGCAGCGTCTCGTTTGGTCAAAGTGCGATGAACTGAACTGCATGGGACCAAGGCAGATGCTGAATGTAATCAGGCAAAAAGACACTTCCTGCCTCAAAGAGCTTTCAAGTTAGCCTGGAGTCACAAACCATGGGGAAAGGGGTGAAGACATTTCACAAAGGTTTTGTGATAGCTCTGCTACTATTAAAACAACAAATTTCCATTTCAAGAAAACCTCTGTAATAAATTCTACCCATGGTTTTCAAAGCTCCACCGCTTTTCTCAGTTTCCTTCTAGGTTTTCTTTGGTTCTCTGCTGTGCATTTTAAAATTTTTTTTCCCTCCCACCACCCACCCCTTGCCCTAGAGAAGGATACAATAAAACACGAATATATAAACATATACCTGTGATCTATAAACACACACATACATAGATACACATAGACATATATGCAAGACCATACTATGCATATTCTATGTGTCAGTTTTCTCTGGAGATGGATAGCATCTTCCTTCATAGGTCTGTCCTTCCATGTTTTCCTAAATCAACCAACTCATCATTTCTTATATCACAACAGTATTCCATCACAATCATATACACACAGCTTGTTTAGCCATTCCCCAATTGAAGGGTATCTATCATTTTAGCCAATCTGACAGGTGTGAAGTATTGCCTCAGAGTTGTTTTAATTGGCATTTCTCTAATCAAAAATGATGTAGAGCATTTTTTCATATGATTATATATCATTCTGGTTTCTTCACTGAAAAACTGCCTGTTCATAACCCTTGACCATTTATCAACTGTGGTATGACCTGTATTCTTACAAATTTGACAAAGTTCTTTACATAATTGAGAAATGAGACCTAAACAATACTGCATAATATTGGTGACAGTGTAGTTTCTCTATTATTCTCTTTTAATTAAATCTATTTTAGCGTTAGCTTTGTCCAAGATCATGATTACTACTACTGCTTTTTTTACATGACAAATTCTACTCCAGCCCTTTATTTTAATTCTGCGTGTATCTCTCATTTTTATTGTTTCCTGAAAGAGACGTATGGTTGAATTCAAATGTTTAATCCATTCTGCTATCCATTTCTGTTTTATGGGTGAATTCATCCCATACACATTCAAAGTTATAATTACTTGCTGTTTATTTCCCTCCATCCTATTTTTCCTCACTATCCTTCTTACCCCATTTACCCTACCCTTCCTCACTCCTTTAACTGACTTCTACTGGCTACCCTGCCCTCCTATTCCTATTCCTTAATCTACTGACCCCATCCTCTCCCCCCATCCTCCACCTTAATCTATTTATCTAAGTTTCCCCTTTATCGCCTCCCCCTCCTGATTCTTACTCTACACACCCTTCTAAAATTCCCTCCCATATCCTATCCCCTCACCCTCTTACTTCTTTCTAAATTTAGAAGACTTTTATACCTTTCTAGATGGATATGTTGTTTCCTTTTTAACCCATTCCCAATGAAAGTAAGATTCCAGCACTACCCACCCTCCCCCTACTAGCTTCTTCTGTATCAGTTTTTCCTTTCATGCCTCCTGTGTATGAGATAATTATTCCTTTTACCTCTCCCTGCATGGTTTTATTTTTTAGAATCACTCCATCATACACAGCTCAGTCCAAGCCTTTCTTTCAAACTACCCAAATAATGACAGTCATGAAAGTACTAATAACATTTTCACATATAAGAAGTAAACAGTTTGACCTTATTGAGTCCCTTATAATTGGTCTTTAATGTTTACCTTATATTTCTCCTGGATCTTCTATGTCAAATTTTCCATTAAGTTCTGCTCTTTTTATCACAAATATGTGAAAATCTTTCAATTCGTTAAATGTACTTTTTTTTTTTTTCCATTCAGGATTATACCTAACTTTGCCAGGTAAGTTATCCTTGGTCATAACCCTAGCTCTTCTGCTCTACAAAATATACATTCCAAGATCTACGGTCCTTCCACATAGTAGCTGCTAGGTCTTGTGTAATCCTGATTACAGCTCCACAATATGTAATTCTTTTTTTCTGTTGCTTCCAATATTTTCTCCTTAATCTGGGAGCTTTGAAATTTGCTTATGACATTACTATAATTTTCCCCCTGGGATCTCTTTCAAGTGATTGGTGGAATTTTTCTATTTCTGCTTTACCTTATTGTTCTAGAACCTTAGGGCAATTTTCCACAATAACTTCTTATAATATTGTATCAAGCTGCCCAACTATTCTTATATTGTCTCTCCTCGATCTGTTCTCCAGATAAATTGTCTTTTTGACAAGATGTTTCACTTTCTCTTCTATATTTCATTCTTTCGAATTTGTTTTATTTCTTGGTATCTTATAATGTCATTAGCTTTCCCTTGCCCAATTCTAGTTTTCTTTTTTTGTTTGTTTGTTTTTTTTTGGCTAGGCAATGGGATTAAGTGACTTGCCCAAGGTCACACAGCTAGTAAGTGTTATGTGTCTGAGGCCGGATTTGAACTCAGGTCCTCCTGAATCCAGGGCCAGTGCTCTATTCACTGTGCCACCTAGCTGCCCCTCCCAATTCTAGTTTTCAAGGAATTATTTTCTTTCTTAAGTTTTTGATTCTCTTTTTCCAGTTGGTTGACTTTCTTTTCATAATTTTCTTGATTTTCTTGGATTGTTCCTTTTTTTTTTTCCTAACTTTTCCTCAATCTCTCTTAATTGACTTTTAAAGTCTTTTTTGAGTTCTTCCAAGAACTCTTTTTGGGGCTTGGGACCATTTGACATTTCTCACTGAAAAAGGAGTGGCTTTTTTGGCTCCACTATCTTCCTCTGAATATGAACCCAGATCTTCTCTATCCCCATAGTAGTTATCTATGGGCGGGTTCTTCCTCCTTTGCTTACTCATTTTTATTTTTATTTTATTTTTAGCAGCTTATTATTATTATTATTATCAAATTCTAATCCCAAGGTGTGGGGAATGATGCCCCAGGCCACAGGTCCTTCTGTTATTTTCTAAGCTCTGTCCTGGGCCCAACCTTGGGCTCTCCTCTCTACCCCTAAGCCACAGCTAAGGCCCCCAGCCACGCAGTCCTATAAATGTTCTTGCTCCCTTTGATTCCTCTGGTGGCTGCAAACTCCATCTGTCCTCTATGCCTGGGAACCAAAACCAGGGACTCTGCTCTCCTGAAAGTGTCCACAGCCATCAGGGTCCCTGCCTTTCTGCTACTACACGCACCAGGTATGTGCCAGTTCTTTCTCCTCCACAACTGCAGCCTGGGGCCACACCTGGTCAGCACAGCTGTGCTTGGCATCCCTTGACAGTAGAAGATCCTTAAATATTCTCCTACTCAGCTGCTGGACTGCCACACTGCCCTGAGGCTGAGGCTGAGGCCGCCTCCCTACCCAGCCGCCCCTAGGGCTTACTGTTTGTTGATTCTGCAGAGTCCGCCTGGAGGTGTTTGTACTTCACTCAGTATTACCACATGACAAAACCTCTCTGTCTTCTGGTATATGATTGTGATGGAATATGACTACAATATAAGAAATGGTGAGCTGGCTGATTTTACAATAACATGGAAAGACTTGGACCTATGAAGGGAGATGCTACCCACCTCCAGAGAAGGAATGGTCAAAAAGAAATATGTTTAGTATGGTCTTACATACATGTATGTACATAGATATATATGTATATGTATATATTTGTATTTAGTTGCAGCCTTCTCTAGGGTGGAGTGGGGAGAAAGGGAGAAAAAAAGTAAAAAGTACGCAGCAGAGAACAAAAGAAAACTTAGAAGGAAGCACAGAAAAGCAACTCTGAAAACAATGTATAATAATTATTACATAGTTCTTTTAAAAAAAAGTTAATTTAACAGTTTGAAATGGAATTGTTATATTTCCAATCCTCTATGTTCTGTTGTGTACATGGAAATGGTTTTTTTTTCCTTTCCTGTTTTGTATTCAAGTTTAAAATGAGTAAAAAATTAAAAAAAGGAAAAAAACCATCTCCGCCAACATGCCCGTTAGACTTCCAGGGAATCATATGTCTTTTTTGAAACGAGTTTACTGCCTGTTCTAGGGTAGAAACTAGTCCTACTACATCAGTGTTGAAGGACCAGGAAGGAGGAGACAACGTCCTAATGAGATTCGGGTGAAGAGGAGTCAGGTGGATGAGAAGATCAGCATCACCCAAGGAGCTGAGAATGACTACCACCACCCAGTCTACCGCCCACATTCATCTTGTGCAGTAACTCTTACCCAGCAGGAACCTTGCTAATTAACACATTCCTGCTCTAAAAGCATCTTCTTCTTTATTAGCCCTTCAGCCACATTACTTTAAAGGTATTTACAGTCCCTTACAGAAAAGAACTTTTGCAAGCCCTTTTTTTTCCAGCAGGTCTTCATAATGACCTTATAAACATGGTGGGGATGCTCATTTATGCAAATAAGTGAAAGTCCTATGAGCCCCAGTGAAACGAGACAATATAAATTAAAGTCAGTCGCTGTACAGACACATCTTCATCTGTATATACTGAACAGTTAATGAAGCTTGTACCAGACCAGGCTTTTCATCTGCTTTATTTTATCAATGTTCTCTATAATACTAGTAAAATCAGCAGAGGGGATAACTGGAAAGTGTTATATCATTTACATAGCATGAGCGTCGCCCTGGAGAGATTATCGTTAATCTTTTGAAACCATAAAGTAACAAAAGCAAACAATTCTCCAAAGTACCTTGCAAACGTTGGCCAACCGGCGTCCAAATCATAACCCCTGGAAGCCAGATCAAACTGGACCTCTGTGAGCTCATACAGTTGGCCAACAATGTCGGAGCTCATTTTAGGCTTCAGGAATGGGCTTCTTGCATAGTACCAGTCACTGAGGAGAAGATGAAAGAGCATAGATCAAAACCAGAATCAACAAACGCATTAAGTCCATTTTCCCAATGTGTCTCATGGGCATGCTATCATGGCTATCCTCATCAATTAAAAAGCCAAGTTGCCAAATAAGCCTGTATCTTAATAAGGAAAAAAAAAAAAGAAAACAAAGGTGTGTAGCATAGTAGAAAGGGACCTGATGGTACCAGGAAGATCTGGGTTCAAGTCCCTCCTTTGATACACCCTAGATTTGTGACCTTGGACAAGTCACTGAACCTCTATTACTCGAGACAACTCTCTAAGACTGTAAGTTTCAGAGAAGGCACTACTTACATTGGTAGATGGAGTTTCCTCACCTGGGAGTTTCATATGCCAATGAACTCGCAGATCTAGGCCCTATCTCTATCTGTATTCATCACAGAAAGGTGTACTCAAATACAGACCACTTTTTAGACAAGAAATATGCAATAATCACAATTACACATCAATAAAGGTTTCCATGCATAAGTTCCTTTCTTTAACAAAAAGAAAAAAGATAAAGAACTACCCTTTCCTCCTCTCCAAATCAAAATGATCCAACCTGTTGCTGATTAGACCAGTTTAAGAGCAAAGGTCTCAAATATTTAGGTGAAATTAAATGTTATTTGTACTTTAAACTGTCAATGGAACAGTTTCACTTGATTTGCAATGAACCAGAACTAAAACTCATGAGGTTTTATTCTACCTATTGACCTCAATTTCAACTAAAGCCCCATACTGGAGACTGTTTTGGCAAACATGATTCTAGGTTTTTCAAAGTCTTTGCTAAATGGTCCTCAATCTCTGGCAGTTCCTCCCAAACTTGACATGCTTTAGGTCCAATATTCAATAAACATTTATTAAGTGCCTACTATGTGGCATGGGCAGCTAGGTGGCCATGTAGATAAAGTGTCAGGCCTGGAGTCAGGAAGACCTGAGTTCAAATCCAGACTCAGATACTTACTAGCTGTGTGACCCTGGGCAAGTCACTTGACTTCTGTTTGCTTAGGAGGAAATTAGGTGGTTCAGTGCATAAAGTTCTGGGCCTGAAGGCAGGAAGATCTGAGTTCAAATCAGGCCTCAGACACTTGTGACCCTGGGCAAGTCACTTAAGTCCTGCCAGCATGAAAAACTGGAGAAGGAAATGGCAAACCACACTAGCATCTTTGCCAAGAAAACCTCACAGACACTGTGACCCATGAGGCCATGAAGAGCCAGACATGGCTGAACAAGTGAACCACAACGATGCGCCAGGCAGCAGGCTGAGCGCTAGGGATATAAATACCAAAAAAGGCCAAAATAAGTGTATCAAAGCACTGACCCAGAAGTACGCCGCGAAGCTTGGAAAGACAACAAAGCACCAGCCATGGAACTAGATCAATGTATCGGTCATGATCACTTGGGCACAGGTCCTCACCTCCGTGTGCCCTCCAATTAATGCTACCGCAGAACTCTAGCATGGTGTCCCCCCCATCGATTCTGTCCTTTAAGTCAGAGGTTATTCTGGCAGCTTCTGTAAGGAATTTTCCATCAGATTGCTTGGGCCAGTATCTGGGGCATGGTCCTGTGCCATCCTTCCTCTCTCTTCTCCTATATTCTTTCCCTTATTCTTGCAAATTCTTTTCCGCCTTATTTCTTCCTACTCCCCATCTGTGCACCTAAGAGGCCTGCCAATAGCATCCAGGAGGCACTCATGGGCACTATTTATCCATGTCTTGTGACACCCAGGGTTAAAGATATTACTCTACTCCGGCTATACTATTTTTATTCTTGTTCAGTCTTTTCAGTGAAGTCTGACTTATGACCTCATTTGGGATTTCTTGGCAAAGATACTAGAATGGCTTGCCATTTCCTTCTCCAGTTCATTTTACAGATGAGAAAACTGAGGCAGACAGGGTAAAGTGACTTGCCCGGGGTCACACAGTTAGTAAGTATCTGAGGCCGGATTTGAACTCAGAAAGACTCATCTTCCTGACTTCAGGCCTGGAGTTTCACCCACTGTACCACCTAGCTACTGGTCTATACTATACTTCTTTTAAAATATATATACATATATGTATAATCTGTCCCTCCCAATCCTGCTGTCCCCATCATTGAACAACAACAAAAAACACTCTCAACATAAACATGCACAGTCCAACAAAACAAATTCCCATGTTAGTCATGACCTAAAATGCATGATTTTCTCCGCAATTTTAAGTTGATCGCAAGAATTGAGTGGCCTGTTTCATCTTCAGTCTTCTAGACTTGTGGTTTATCATTGCATCAATCAGAGTTTTAAAGACTTTCAAAGTTAGTTTTCTCTCTAACATGGCTGTCATTATAGAAATTGTTCTCCTCTTCTGTTCACTTCCCTCTGCATCATTTCACAGAGCTCTCAGTTTCCTCCGAAACTTAGCATTTCATCATTTCAGGGAGCACAGTAATATTTCACAACATTCACATACTACATTTCATTTAGCCACTATACTTATAAAGTAAGCTGTTTGTTAGCAACAACACCAAAGGTGAATTGTGAAGAATGATAATTGAACTTTCTTCAACATAACACTGGAACAAATGCTAACATTGCTTGCTGATGCCATGATCTTACTTCTCCACTTACCTGGTCACTTTGGTATTCATGAGACATTGCTGCAAGGTGTCTGCCAGTCTCTGATGTACTAGAGAATAACGTATGAATGCCCTGCCCTTCCCAAGAGATGTTCGGAGCTGAAAGAGCAAAAATAGAAAGAAAGGAACAGCCTTTAGATTCCAAGTGACCCAGCCCTCCAAGTGCCCTTCAAAAAGAGCCTCAGGAAGGCATTTTCACCAGTTTGCAAATACATCATTGGCTTCAGTCACACAACCCTTTCGGCAAAAGGCATTTAACAGTCCCCTCTACCATTCCACAACAAGTTAACCAAATGGAAATAGAAAAAAAAGCATGAGTTAATTCAATTTCTCGTGGGTCTCCTGGTTTCCCAGTCATTTGCAAGAATAGCAAAATAGATTAAGGGGGATCGGTTCTTCTCCAGCACTTCCATGAAAAGGCTTCCTTTGGAGTCCATTTTTCCTTCCTTGGTTAAGTGGAAAGGAGTTGAGGGTTGAGTCCCAGGTATGGAGCTCTCTCTGAACAGGATTCAAATAATTCAAACTACTCTGGGGTGAAGGATGGACATGTGTCAAGTAACAGGATCTCCAAGCGGAGAACACATGCATCCTTGCCTGCTGACCCCGCAGAGAGGACTACGATGGAATATTACCTTCCTCAACAGGTTTTCTTGACCTCTGTTGCCAGAGAGTCTGTAAATACTTTGGGCCACAAAAGTCAATTCTTGCCATTTGTGTTTGATAAACTCTAGATAGAAAGTTGATATGACTTAAAACTACTTTGGTGTGTAAACTCACTTATCCAAACACAATCTCAAAGTAAAACTGATTGGGTGATTTTAAAGACTGTTTGACGGGGGCAGGGGTGAGGAGGGTATTATAGTGCCAGTATTACATCTTGTGCTGTTCCAAAGATTAATTAGCTTTCGCCATATGGCACAACTCTGACAGCTGGGAGCATGGGTCTATCTCGGCTAAAGAAATAAAGGGAAGTGCCACAGATGATACCAGAGACGAGTCTGTCCATTGTGCTTCCCTACCCTGATTCATTCACTCAAAGGCCCAATGCAAATGGTGGAAATCCCTCGATCAATTGACAAACATTAAAAAAGTGCTGACTGTGTGCTGGGCACCACGATAGGTACTACAGATCACAAAGACAAAAATCAGATTGTCCCTGCCTGACCTGCAGAAAACAAAGCTTCCCAGCAACACCATGTTCAACTAGATTTCTGGCACAGACATGGAGGGAAGGCTGCATCTCCAGATGAAAAGTCAGAGATATTTAAAACTCCTGTGTTGTTGTTCAGTCGTTTCAGTTGTGACCAACTCTCTGAGACCCCACTTGGGGTTTTCTTGGCAGAGATCCTGGAGTGGTGTGCCATTTCCTTCGCCAGCTCATTTTACAGATGAGGAACTGAGACAAAAAGGGTTAAGTGACTTGCCCAGGACCACACAGCTAGTCACATTCGAACTCAGGATGATGTGTCTTCCTGACTCCAGGCCCAGCACTCTATCTACTGTGCCACCTCGCTGCCCCAAAATTCCTCTAGGATACACCTTAAAATGCTCAGCAAAAAGAGTTCTTTCGAAGTAACAGGCATCATAGGCAAACATCATTAAGTTATTAACGTGTACAATACGGAAAATCAATCAGGGAAAGACACAGGAAACTGGTTGAGTCTCAAGTACTGATACACTAACAACTCACACAATAGCTCCTTTCTTCTGTAAGTCACTTTCCCCCATTTTATTGGTACGTAGTCAAATTCCATAACAACAGTTTTAAAAGTGTGAAACCATGTAAACTACAGAAGTGGCAACACACTTCCTCCCGCTGACTGGCTACTCTACCCCAAAGACTCAGAAAACCAACCGAGCTAGCAAATGGTTAGTCACAAAGCATTTATTAGGGGCCTGCTGCTGGACTGGTCAGCCCAGCTGAACACACTGTACCCTGACCCTACTCTGATGTTGCGGGGCCTCTTCGAAAACAAAGGATGAACAACATTAAGTGCCTACTATGTGCCAGGCACTGTGCTAAGCACAGGGCATACAAAGAAAGACAAAGAAAGTCCTTGCTCTCAGGGAGCTTACAATCTAATGGGGAAGCCAACAAGCAAACAATTATGAAAACAGAAGTTAAATCAGATGGGCAGTTTGTGTCTGTTACTTTATGAAACCATCACTGGTTTAATAGAAAGAAGGTTGTGATGAGGATGTCTGCCACCATCTTAGTGGGATCCCTGTATCCAAATGCTTTTCCCACTGACAAATCAGGGGAGAGCAAAACGTTTGCAGGATGGTGATCAGGACCACCCTGCATAGGAAGTCAGACTGACAATTTTAACATGAAGGACTCCAACCCATCATTAACCTAGGCATCCCTATGCAGGATGACACACATCTATTCTGTAGTCCCATGCCTGCCTACACAAATACACCCATGCTAAGACACAGGCATAGACACACACTCAGACACAGACACAAGCACACCCTCTCAAAAAACAAGCATGGGCTGCTTTGGGGGAGGAAAGGATGGGATAATGATATATAACGACAAAGAGATCCAGAACTACTCAATACTTATTTATCTTCTATTGTCTCTGCCAAGGACAATGAAGGTCACACCATTTTCCCCATTTCACCTTCCTTCGGTGTTCCATAATTCTTCCCTTATGGGACTTTCCTCAAATATCTTAAATAAAAGACACCTTTACTTTAAAAAATAATAGTTTATATTAGACTAACCTCATCTCCATTTTTGACATGGTTGCTAAACTGATATACTGTAAATACAGTTAACCTAAATTTTAGCCTAGAATTTGATAAAGTCTCTCATGCTATTTTTGCGGCAAAGATGGAGAGATACAGGCTAGAAACCTTTCCACAGAGAAGCCAGTGGTGGTTTCACAAAGAAATAGATGCAAAGAGTCAGATGGCTTCAGTACTAGTTGGAGATTGGATGGAAAGATTTGTCAAGAATGGTTTCATGTCAGCATGGAAGAAAATCTCCAGGGGAGTATCCCAGGGATCCCAGACCACGGCGTCTGAAAAGACCAGGACATGACATGACAATGAGTGAAATCTACAAAGATTAAATCACTGTGGTATTAAACATCTTCAACAATGACTTGAAGACAAAGGTACCAGCAGGGACAGCTCACACACCAAATGACCAAAATGACCACGGATCCCGACAGCTAGAATACGGGTGAAATCAACTAAGATGAAACTTAATGGGAATAAACGGAAAGTCTTACCATTGGGTTCAACAAATTAACTTCATCAGCACAACATGGGGGAAGTCCAGCCAGATTTTGCTTGAAAAGCAGCTAGGGATCTTAGAGGATTATAAGCTCTCCATGAGTCAATTGTGGAATATAAATTGATCAATCAATAAATGTTTATTAAGCATCTATTGGGTGTCAGGCACTACGCTAAATGCTTTACAAATACTATCTCGCTTGCTCCTCACAACAATCCTGAGAGGTACGTGCTATTATCGTCCCCATTGTGCTGTTCTTGCTCAGTCGTTTCAGTCACATCGGACTCTTCGTGGCCCCTTTTGGGGTTTTCTTGGCAAAGATGCTAGAGTGGTTTGCCATTTCCTTCTCTAGCTCATTTTACAGATGAAGAAACTGGGACAAACAGGGTTAAGTGATTTGTCCAGGGTCACACAGCTAGGAAGTATCTGAGGCCAGATTTGAACTCAGGAAAGTGAGTCTTCCTGACTTCAGGCCCAGCATTCTATTCACTGCACCACCTAGCTACCTAAGATTACTGACATAAAAAAAGAATTGTATATTTAGCATTTTAAAAAACAAAGATGTAAAAAAAAAAGCCAATCCTAGAGAAAAAATGTTTTCTGTCTATCTCCTTCAATAATTAAAGGTCCACAAGTTTATAGGCTCACAGGATTGAGAGCAGAAAGAGGCTGTAAGGATCATCTCTTCAGACCTTGGGCAAGTTACTTCTTCTCTGAGCCCCAATTTTTTTAACTGGCAAAATAAACTAAAATCTCCCAAAGCGTCTTCAGGCTCTCTAAGATTTTGTCAAGCTCTGCATCTTATGAAATCCCTTCATTTGGCAGCCGAGAAAGCTTGGATCCAGAAAGATTAAATGACCTGTTCACAATTACACAGCCAGTCAGTTATTTTTAAAATTATGTTTTAAATTAATTTATTTTTTTTAAATGCTAAACATTAGAAATACAAAAAGGGGCAAAAGACAGTCCCTGCCCTCAAGGAGCTTACAATCTAGTGGGGGAGATAACAAGCAAACAAACGCTTAGAAACTAGTTATGTGCAGGATAAATTAGGAAATAATTAAGAGAGGGAAGGCACTAGAATTAAGAGGGGTTGGCGGAGGCTTCTCATAGAAGCTAAGGTCTTGGTTGGGGCTTAAAGGAAGTCAGGGAAGGCAGTAAGTATTAGCACACAGGTAGCAGGTACCAGAACTGGAGTATCCAACAATTGGGAAGACGTTTGACATAGCAAGAAAAGTGCTGTCTCTGCTTTCAGAAGAAGCCCGCGTTCAAAGAACACCTGAGACACTCGAAGAGCCCTAGTTTCTCCATCTGTAAAATGGGGATAATAATACCTGGACCTCACAGGGTTATTATGAAGGTCAAATCAGGTAATAGATGCATGACACTTTGCAGACTTTGAAAGCCCTATATAAATGGCAGTTATTACTGTTATTGTAATTAACACTATTATTTGTTCCCAGGGCCTGTCTCAAAATCTACTATGCCATATTACTTTTTTCTTTTCGTTTATAAAGTATTTTTATTTACCATATTCAAGTAATATTTTAATATCTACAATACACATTTATTAAAAGAAACACAAGGGAATAAACAAGAAAGAAGACAACCACCCACAACAGCAGATTCCCCTCTACCCCAAACAAACATATTCCTCCAAAGAAGGTCAACAGTGCCTCTGAAGCAGCCTGATATACCTGTTTCAGAAGGGTCTGTCCGAGCCCCGGAAAGCCCACTCTGCCTTGCTCATTACAGGCTTCATGTAACTGGAGAAATCCTGGCTATGTCACAATCAATCATACACCTTCTGCCCTCACTGCACTAGGCAGAGACCACTAAAGTTAATAAAAAATCTTCGTGAAGCACACTCAGACAAGCAGTTTCAATTATTCCAAACCATTCTTTCCAGCCTAAGTCATCAGTTTGTTTTCCTAACAGAGGTGTTAGAATCTGTGTGTACAGCATTGCACTGGTCAAATGCTAAAAAGGCATACATCTTTTTTTTTTAAATGAAAAATACATTTGCCTCTCATCAGTCTGTTAAGGGATCAGCCAATAAGTTCTTCTCAAACCAAACTCTCCAAAATCCATAGTGTTATTTGAGAAAAAAGCATAGGAATTATGGGCTGCAGAAACTGGCATCTTTTTGGCGAGCTACATCATTGTAAAAAGTGGGGATTAGGAGCGTCGCTCTTCCCAAACCTTATCTGCCTCAGATCAGAAGCCAAAAATGTCTGAATTGCTCATGATGCAGAAGATGAGGAGGGAAGGATAACACAGGGGAAAGGACAGTCAAATATTCCATCCAGATTCATGCTGCAATCACGTAACTCTCCACCTTGCAAGGCTTAACTAACTTATCAAGTGAGATCTTTAAACTATCCACCTACAGTAACCCCTACAGTGACCTCAAAGAGTCTCCAAGTGGCTCCTAAGAGTAAGGATGGGGCCAGGCCCCTGTGGTTATATTTTGGGGGCTGCAACTGGGGGAAAACGTCTAGCTCCGAGTTGCAGGTTATTTAAGCCTGCTATATAGTATAATGCCACCCTTCATCAATACCAACAAACAGACCAAGCTGGTCTGACTCCAGGAGTTCTTTGCAGTGACCCCATCAGGCTTTGTTGCCCATACGTTCCCTTTAAAAACTGAGGAAATTTCACAGAAGTAATTCTTTTTTAAACAAGGAGAAATCAAACTCTAGGCCCAGTGTCTCTAACTATGAGCACAGCAGTGTATATTCATTTGTACCCAAAGGAAGAATCTTTGCTTCTGGATAAGGCTGGGGTACCACAGCACATCATTGGCCACACGGGTCCCGTTCAGAGATGCCCCAGTTAAAGCAAAGTAAAACATACTAAGGCCAGTGCCTGCCTTGCAACTTGATGGTCAGCACCCTGGAAAATCAATCAATCAGTTGCTACTTCTTACAGAAATCTAACAGTGCATACTGCAATGCAATACAAAATGTGAGTAGTATGGGTAGGGAATGTGAGTATGTAATGGTAGGAGGTAGAAGGTGTGGCCCCTACCCCTATGCAGCTCCCAGTCTAACCAAGGCAGGCTTGATCACCTAAAAAGTCATATGCAAAGTCAAATGGCATTCTGTTTATTTTAAATCCATGCTGCCTAGGAAAACATCTTAGAGGAGGTGTCTAAGCAACATCTTTTTTTTAAAATAGCACTTTATTTTTTTCTAGTTGCATCTAAAGAAAGTTTTTAATATTCCCTTTTATAAGCTTTTGAGTCCCAAACTTTTTTCTCCTCCCCTCCCCTCCCCCTTCCCCAAGATGGCAAGCAATCCGAAAAAGGTTAGACATGTACAATCATATTAAACATATTTCCACGAGTCACATTGTGAAAGAAGAATCAGAACAAAAGGGAAAAACCACGAGAAAGAAAAAACAAAAAACAAAAGAGGGTGAAAATAGTACGCTTCCATCTGCATTCAGACTCCATAGTTCTTTCTCTGGATGCGAATGGCATTTTCCATCATGAGTCTTTTGGAATTGTCTTAGGTCATTGTATTGCTGAGAAGAACCAAGTCTATCAAAGCTGATCACTGCACAATGTTTAAGCAATATCTTTTTTAAGTATTTAATATAAGAAACATTTACTGGACCTTTTTTCTCCAACTTGTGTCTTTGTTATGTTTAAGACTTAAGATATTTCTCTACATGGTAAACTTAGTTAAACTTTTTCTTTTCTGAGTTCAAAATAAGTATTAACAAACATGAAATTAATCTGAAATAGACTGCTTTGCCCTTTGCCCTCTTTCAGGGGAGGAAAAAAAGTTTCATGTTTATTTTTTTTTACTCTTGGAGTACCAGTTGATTGAAAAGCCAAGACTGATTAGTGACAGACCTTTTTCCGGAAGGCTCAACAGCTCTACCAACAGACAGAGGACAGTGGCAGGTCATACACCCTCTGCTAAGCAGTCCTACTTACCTCTGAAATAGACTTGACAAAGCGGATGCCGTCATTTGCTCCTTTCACCTTAGCCAGACAGTCACAGAAGTAATCCCAGTAATCCTTCCTGTTCCCTAGGAGAGTGGCCTTCTCCTTTTGGTCAAACTGTGTTGGAAAAAGAAGAGAATATCTAAACTCCCATTTTCACCACAATGTTCAAAGGCTAACAACAAGTAACAAGAAATCTCTCCATGAAAATCTCATGTGTACAACTATGTTAGCTCACATCAAAATTTTTATTAACTTGCGAATATTTAAAAAAAGAAGTCTGGAGACTGCGCTCAATGCATTTACTTAAAGTATACTCTGGCCCAGGTAGGTGAATAATTGAGACTTGGTACTGGGTATTCAAACCTTAGGTTATTAGTTTGTTCTCAGATTCTGCTATTCCTGATATACATGCAAACACACACACACACACACACACACACACACATTCTCTCTCTCTCTCACACACACACACACACACACACACACACACACATTCTCTCTCTCTCTCTCACACACACACACACACACACACACACACACACACACACACACACAGAGACCATGCAAATATGTTCTTAGCTTCAAGTCACTTCAAATCTAAAACCTGAAATAGGTTTGGTTAAAAGGAAATGACCAGACATATTTTCACAATGAAAAAGCTTGGCATCAATTGAAAAGGCACAGAAAAATATTTTACTTTGACATGTCAGTTGGTAATTTCTCCGATTTGCTCTCCTTACAGCCACACATTTTGCTGGGAACTCTACTGTAATACAGTGGAACTTAAAAGACACATAATAATAATTGTAGCTGAAAATAAGGTTTATGGAGCACTTTTACGGACATGATCTCATCGATCCTTATTTCTCAATAAAGTTTTGTATCTTTGGCTATGAAAGACCTCAACACATCGTCAAACTCCAATGACTAAAATCTCTAAAAATGTCTTTGTGTTCAAACACATCCTAAATCCACACTGGATCTTCCAAGGTACATACTAAAGGATGTCCTACTCAAGTCTGAAGATGTCATATGAATACAAAGGGCACTTGGGCTCCATAATGCGCACTGAAAATGACCCCAGTGATGTTGACCAACATTTAAGATAAATATTCAGGAATCTAACTAGGTGATCCTTAGGCAGGACCAACAGACAGGAAGGTAAGTCAGCCCATGCATCACTGACCTGTAAAAGATACTCAAGCTTGTAGGAAAACTTGTGCAAGTTGGTGCTGTCATCTGTAATTGGCTCCCCGACATCCTTAAATTCTTTGCTGAGTTCAACCACAGCATCTTTAAGACAAAAACCAGAACAGGTGATCTGAAGAGGCTGATGGAAGGCTAAGGACAGGTGTGAAGAGTAACCAACAATTATTGTAAAATAAAGTGAAAACATGCAGCATAAAAAGGAAACAGCATCTTTTGGCCAGATTTTGTAAGTCATAGCATTTCTTTACCCCATTAGTACAGTATGGCGGAGTGGATGGAGCCCAGGTCTTGGGAGTCAAAAGTCATTGTTGTGGTTTGGCCATTTCAAGTCATGTCTGATTCTTCATAATCCCATTTGGGCTTTGTTTGTTTTTTGGCAAAGATACTGCAATGGTTTGCCATTTCCTTCTCCAGCTCATTTTACAAATGAGAAAACTGAAGAAAACAGGGTGAAGTGACTTGCCCAGGGCCACACAGCTAGTAAGTGTCTGAAGCCAGATCTGAACTCAGGAAGATGAGTCTCCTAATTCCAAGCTCAGTACTCTATCCACTGCACCACTTAGCTGCCCTCAGGGAGTCAAGGGATCTGGGTTTAAATAACACCTCAGCCACTTACAAGCTATGTTTGAGGGCAAATCACTTATTCTTTCAGATGCCCCTGCTTCTGGGCAAAATGGCGTCCCACCCTCTCACAGGGTGGTTGTGAGCCAAGCACGTTGCAAACCTCAAAGTACCGTAGAAATGCGAGTTGTTATTATTAATGCTCAAGTTATCTTTTCTATCTCTGCAACAGCTGGCACAGAAGCTACTGTTATTTTCATTGTGGTATTTCTGCAAATACTCCTCATGAGTGCTAAAATGGGAGACGACCAAATGACCCATAACATGCTATCTCCCATCTTCTCTGAATTCAGGATTTAAAACAAACCCAATACCTCCACTGAGACAATGCCAAGATGATGAGAATCAGAAATAAGAACAGACATAACAAGATAACACCTTCTCCCTGAGGGTATTATCACAACAATGTGGCATGCTCATTTCACATTTTAAAACTGCTTTTATCTACATTTTATATTGATTGTCTACTACAGATAGGGCCTGGGGCCAGAAGCAAACTGATCTCTGCTTTTAGGAAATATTATTTCATTTTTTCTGCTTCATAGTAAGGCATAGGAGATAGGATGGAAATTATTTTAATTTTGTTTAATTTTTACAGTTATTTTTTAATCAAATAGAGACAATAACTTACGTGCCCCGATACAACATGAAATGGATGAATAAATCCTAGAAAAGTTCTTTTCAGGTTATATTTTCCCCTGCACGTTGGTTTTTGACCTTTGGAACCAAACTGTGGCTTTAGCTGCTCAGATGTGGTCTCCAATGTTAGGGCATCCTCATTTGTAGATGCCACCTAAGAACAGCTGAGCCTTCCAACCAGTAGAGAATGGTCACCTCTGATTCCAATGGCACGAAAGAAACTGGCCACACAAGATCATGTTGCAGTGAAAGTGGAAAAGAAAAAAGACTGTGACTGAGCATCCAGTCATCTCATCACTAGCTCAGGTGACATGTACATCTATAAAACTAGCAGGCCAGAAAGCTTCTAAATTCTTCTTGGAAATTAAACCACGTGGAATAAAACAAGGGTCCTGCTCTCCAGGACAGACGCAGAAACGTAATCTGTTCTTCTTTATTTCTAGTTCTACGCAGAACCACACTGCGATGGGCTAGAACCATGTCCATCTTCACAGCCCACAGAGACCACCCAACAGATGAAAAGACTACAGCAGAACCCTGATTGGTGAAATACTGCTGACAAGGAAAGACGAGGAAAGAAACGGCACTTCCAGAAGAGGGACGACCTGGGTGATCTTCTCCAGGAGGACAGATGATAACTAACAACAACTCGTATTCATACAGTCGGTCAGCATTAACTTAGCACTTTCTACATGGCAGGCACTATGCGAAGTCCTGGGGACTCACAAAGGGCAAAAAGAGACCCAGCCCTCAAGAAGCAGACATTCAAATCGGGAGGAAGAACACGAAAATAGTGAGAAACACACAAGGTACATAAAAAGTAGAAAGAAGGTCATTTCAAAGGGAAAGGCAAGAGGGTTGGGAGGAATGGAAAAAGCCTCCCAGAGAAGATGGAATTTGAGCTGAGCATCGAAGCAAGTCAGGGAAACTGAGGCAGAGATGAGGAGGAAGCCAGTACAAAGACACAGAGATAGGAGATGGAGGAGATGAAGGAAGAGCAAGCAGTCCCGTGTGGCTGAAGAGTCGAGAAAGGCAGGGCAGGCCAGGTAGGAAAGAACTCCAGATGCCAAACAGAGGACTTTGAGCCTAGAGGCAATGGGGCCGTTGGAGTTTACTGAGTCACACCTCTACTTTAGGAAAATCACTTTGGCAGCTGAATGCAGGATAGATGACAGTGGAAAGAGACGAGGCATGGAACCAACTATGAGCTACTGCCAATCAAGGCGAGAGGTGATGAGGGGCTTTATTCGGGTGGGGGCTACGGAGTGGAGAGAAGGTCGTGTACCTGAGGGATGCTGTGAAGCACAGCTGGCACTGCATTGGGTATGTGAGGTGAATGAGAGCGAGGGGTCACGGAAGATAGCAAGGTGCCAAGCCTGGGAGACCGGGAAGATGGCATCCTCACCAGTCACAGCAAAGTTCAGAAGGGCGGAAGGGGAGGGAGGGGCAGGAGAAGGATAGTGAGCTCTGTTTTAGAGACGGTAAGTTTGAGATGCCTAGTTCTAGATGTCTAAAAGGCAACTGGTGACAAGGAAACGGAGGGCAAGAAAGAGACTAGGGCTGAATACGTAGAGATCAAATCTCATATGTAGAGATGATAACTGAACCCATGGGAGCTGAGGAAATCACCAAATGAGACAGCGTGAGAGAAAGGTTTCTTCACCTTTTTTGTGTCACGGACATCTTTGGCAGTCAGGTGAAGTTTATGGATCCCTTCTCAGAATAATATTTTTTAAATGCATAAACAAAAATACATGGAATTACAAAGGAAGACAGTTATGTTGAAGTAGAGTTATGGAGATATTTTTAAAAACAAGTTCGTGGAGCCCAGGTTAAGAATTCTTGGTATACGGGGCAGCTAGGTGGCGCAGTGAATAGAGCACCGGCCCTGAAATCAGGAGGATCTGGGTTCAAATTCGGCCTCAGACCAAACACTTGACACTTACTAGTTGTATGACCCTGGGCAAGCCACTTAACCCCAATTGCCTAAAAACAAAAACAAAAACAAAACAAAAAAAAAGAATTCTTGGTATAAAGGGAAAAATGAAGAGGGTTCAGGCTGAGCCTTGGGGGACACCCATAGTTAGTGAGCATGACTTAGATGAAGAACCAGCAAGGGGCACTGGGAAGGATTGATCATATAGGTAGGAATAGAACCAGGAGAATCTAGCGTCAAGAAAACCTACAAAGGAAAGAGAATCCAAGAAAAGACGATAAATAGTGTCACAGGCTGCAGGGTGGGCAAGAAGGAAGAGGACTGAGAAAAAATCATTAGATTTGGCAACCAAGAGAACACCGTTAGCTTTTGGGAGGATAGTTTCATTTGAATGATGAGGCTGGAAGCCAGCCTGTAGAGGGTTAAGGAGAAAATGAGAAGAGGGGAAGCACACACATCTAATGTGATAGTTTTCTCAACAAATAGATAGAAACAGAAGATAGAAAGTGATGAAGATAATCTAGGTCATGGTGGGGATAGTTAGTGGTCATAAGGGATGGGGAAAGATGAGATAAAAGACTGATCGGATGGAAGAATTTTAGAATTCATGAAAAATTCAGAAGTGGAACACTTGGGGTCCATAGCAAGATCAGGGATATAATTTTTTTGGGGGGGGAGAGGCAATGAGGGTCAAGTGACTTGCCCAGGGTCACACAGCTAGTAAGTGTCAAGTGTCTGAGGCCGTATTTGAACTCAGGTCCTCCTGACTCCAAGTGCTCAATCCACTCAAGGACATAATCTTTGTATGCAGCTGAGGCGCGATGGAGACATAGGTCATATATGGTACTGGGAAGCTGGGATACTAGAGAGACCATCAATATGTACATTAAAGTCCCCTAGTATGAGGGCAGGAGTTGTGGTGGAAAGAGTTTGAGACAGGCCCTAGATTCTCACCCAGGACATTGTCCTGGGTTTTGATAGATACTGCCCACGGGGATCTGAATTAAGTGATAAACATGGCTCGCATGGACCTCAAAGAAGGAGAGGCTGCTGAATAATGGTGGTAGGGGGAGAGCGTGTAAGTAGCAGTGGGGACCCAAGGAACATTCCAACTCTCCCACCAAGATAAGTGAATGGGGGGGGCAGTATGAAAGAAAGTCTAGCCAGTAATAAAAAGGTGGAAAGGTGGGGAGGGGTACCAGGTCTCAGTCAGGGCCAGAATATGGAAGGAGTGACAAAGGAAGCTATCTAAGTTGAAAGGACGTTTGCTAATTATGGAACATGCATTTCAGAGGGCCTTAATTTTGATAAAGAAATTCCCTCCCATCAACCCTACGATACAGGTCATGCAAGTATTGTTCCCATTTTACAGATGAAGGAACTAAGTCTTAAGAACTAAGACCTGGTAATTTGCCAAAGGTCACATAGTTAAATAAATGTCAGGGGAGCAATTTGATGCCAGGTGTTCCAACTCGAAATCCAGCAAGTGTTCCGCCATACTTGACTGCCTCCCAGAGCATTCAGGTATGCTGTCTCTCTTCCTTAGCCAGTGGCAGAAAGTTTCCTCCAAAAATCAGCTTGTCCCATCCAGGGCATAACAGCCTGTATCTCAAGCAAAAATGTAACTCATATAGTTTATTTGGGTAGTTCAAAAAGAAAGACTGAAATAAGTCAAAATGAGATCTTCAATTTTGTTTTCAAATAGATTTTGTAATGAGAGAAGCAATTGGTAAGGTGAGAGCTTCTTAAAGAAGGTCTGAAATCTGAGCTGAAAATGTTTTGACATGAGATAGCCTCAAGTTAACAACTTCCCACAGCGCAAAGATCCAAATGGAAATTTAACTAACAGCCACAAAAGCTCCACCCTCTACCAACCCCGATCAAATTCAAACCCCAAAGATGCAGCCCCAGCTAAACGTCAGTGACAGGGCTTTTACCTTGCAAATCTCTGATAATCCTCTGCAGCTGGCTTTCCGCACTTGATGCCATCATGAACAGGAGGTCTGCCCACACCACCAAACTCGTAACTGGTCAGCACAAGGATCAAAAGTTCATATCGGCTGTGAACGTTCACTTCTCAGAGGTCACTCTGTTTCTGGACATCTGAACATTGGGAAGAAGGAGGCAGGTTAGCACACTAACAAAAATACACTACCATAAATACCCTATCACCATCACTGCTTAAAGAAATCATCAGAGGCATTTATTTGGGGATAAAGTATTCCTTGATACATATAAATTGGTCACTTCCCATGTTTCACCACGGGACTGGGCATCACAGAATCTCGCCACAGACAGATGCAGATTTGCTTTTTGCCACAGAACATTCCAATGTGATGAGCTGGTTTAAAGCCAATGAACAAGGTTAACATAATACCACGTGGTCTTCTTTCCTGGCTTCCATAGATTCTTCTTCTTCTCAGGTGAAAAAAAGTTCTCTAACCCTGTTTTTGTGCATCGTCTCTACCACGAAAAGAACTAAAAACCAAGCCATCTTTTAGAACTGCCCAGCTCTTCCATTTCAAAGAGGGCTGGAAGTTCCGACGACGGGAGGCCCCACCAGATTTCTATCCCTCAGCTCCTACCCAATATCCTTCCCCCATTCTCCTTCTCGGTTATACTAACCAGCAAACTTCTTCCAGCCAAGAGAGCCCGGGGCCTAGATGAACACAGAGCCCAGAAAGTGTATTCCTTCCATTTCTGCACTGCTCAAACTCCACAATCTGAGCTGAAGCATTCCTCCCGCTCAGTTCTCTGTGGCCTGGCTGTCCAGAGCCCACAGCCTGATGGTTCTGGCATCCAGGCAAGCCTGCCTTCAGAGGCACTTTGAATTCCTCAAGTAAGTAAAGGACACCTCCCTATTTTAAGCTGCATTACAGAATCTCTGCTGGTTACTGCAGAGTTAAGGCCTACGCTTCCCTAATCAGCCTCCCTGCAGAGTTACAAGTCAGAGAGGTAATGCGATTTTTTTTTTTTTGCTCTGGGTGTGTTTTGTCCACACATCTTTGGGCATTATTATGTTTCAGAACTCCCTTTAATGCAGGAGTTCTTAACCTTTTGGTAGAGCCTAGGGGTGGGAATCTGCAGCCTCGAGTCTACACATGGCCCTCCAGGTCCTCAAGTGCAGACCTTCGACGAATCCATTGAAGGTTAGGGTTAGCCATTCAGTCAAAGGGCCGCACTTGAGGACCTAGAGGGCCACATGTGACCTCGAGGCCTCAGGTTCCCCACCTAGTGAAGTAGACCCCTTCTTAGAGTAATGTTTTTAAACGCGTAAAAAAAAGTACAGAGGATTACAAAGGAAACCAATTATATTAAAATACAGTTATCAAAATATATTTTTAAAAAAACAAGGTCACAGACCCCAAGTTAAGAATCTGTGCTTTAAAGTATCCACCACAAAGCTATGTTTTTTGCTGATAGGAAAAAATTCTTACACGTCATCACCAGTAGCTCATAAAAACAACTTCCTCCAACACTTATTCTACCCAGATCAACAACCAGCATGATCTGGTCCAGCCACATTTCTGAAAAAAACAAAACAAGACAAAACAAAAACCAAACCAAATGAAAAACCTCCAGCTGCCAAATGATGGCCCTAAGCAGCACCACGACTAGAAGGGGGAGGCCTGCAGCGAAGAACATCAAAGTTCAGTCAAGCTTCAGACACTACCGACTTTATGACGCTGGGCAAGTCACTGAACCTGTCTGCCTCAGTTTCCTCAACTGTAAAATGGGGATAATAATAGCACCTACCTAACAGGGTTGTGAGGATCAAATGAGATTGTATTTGAAAAGAGCTTAGCACAGTACCCAGCACAAAACTGGTGCTTCATGAATGATGATTCCCTTCCTTTCCATCCCTAGCTTGTCCCAAAGTGTGACTTGGAAATCTATTACGCCGGGGCCATTTCAAAATCCATGTTTATAACCGTTCTCTCTTCCCACCCCTAGCACCCCTTACTTTAGGAGTGAAAACAAAAAGTCCAGAATTGACCCTTCCCTTTCTCTCCTCTCTCCTTTCCTCCTCCTCTCTCCCCCATCCTTCCTTCCATCCTTTCTCCTCCCTTCCTTCCCCGGCCTAGACAATGCAATGGTGGAGATGTCCAAGGAGGCCGCCGAACCCACCAAGGCAGACATCATGGGCCTGTGCCAGGACGTGCGAGCTGACAGCCACCAACAAAGACTAGAAACTTCTGGAAAATAGGAACAAACCGACTAGCTTGAAGGATCTAGAAAGGAAAGATAGTGCAGTAAACATAGGCAGAAACCTAAAGGCCTGAAACCAGAAATCTGCAGCACTTGGGCCTTATCTGGATCAGATTACTTCAACTGAAGAGCAAGGAGCAGCTCTGGAGCAGGCAGCCTACAAGTTGGATGCATATTCAAAGAAACTAAAAGCAAAGTACAAGAAAGAGGAAAGAATTCTTTAGCACAAAGACTTTAACTGCAAGGATGTTTCACAAGGGCTGAAATCCACAAGAGTGGGGGGAACTTATCACACTTTCCACGCTCCCATTCCATAAAGGGAAGTGGTACAGCTGATCCAGGGAGAATCCCAGGAGCCATCTTTGGTTGGATGTGCAACCTTGGCCACCCCTGGGCGTCTTCGTAAAACTGCACCCGCTGGAACTTCACCTTGTCGTGTGTTTCATGGTGTGCTCTGGACCCAGGCTCAGGAATCAGGATCGACCAGTCTGGAGCAGACACTGATGAGAGGCTCTGGTCTCCCTGTATCCGCACTTCTTCCCTCTGCCCTAGGGCTCCATGTGTGACGCTTTGTTCTGAATGTGCTCTCTACCCCCTTCATGACCTATTCTTGAACTTAAATAATAAATACTGATTTATGACCCTAAAAAAGAAGAGTCTAGGAATCCACCCACATCAAGGCTCAACCTCCTTAAAAATATTTATATAAGTATTCCTAATGGGGAGGCTATGAATCCCTGAGATCACACCTCAGTGAAGATGTCACACACGCGACTCCTAGTCCAATTCCGATTTGTCTCACAGTGAATTCTAGGCCTAAACATTCTACTCTCTCAGCCTAAGTGTTAAATACACATTTGTAGATAGAGCAAGGGGCTGCAAAAAGGACAGGGACAGTTTTCACATTCATGAGCTGGGTCCCCTCAACTCTAATGGAGGGGTTCAAGGACAAGGAGTCATGTTCTGGGGCTAAAAAGTAAGGGTCCCTGACCAGGTAGATGCCTTGGGGCTGGGCTACAATTACCTTACTCAGGTATACCCATCAGGAGTGGGGTCTTCATAAAAATAGGACAAAAAGGATGGATCACAAATTAATAATTAGCCACTAATATAAGAGTATAATATTAATTTCTCTCAAACTCCATGGCCATTATAATTCTGGCCACAATATCCAACACATACCATCAGTTGTAAAGAATGAAGAGGTAGAGAAACTGTATAAACAACTCAATAAGAACTTCTAATTTAAATCAAGACATATGTTAACATGTACTTGGTGACCTCAAATGCAAAGGTGGGAATAAATAAGGATGGCAAGAAAATATAATGGAAAACATGGGTCAAGGAGGAGAGATAAGAAGTCCTACAGATTCACAGCAGCCTCACGTTTCTACGTGACGAATACTTTCCTTGAGAAAAGAATTGGTAGACTTTGGACAAACCAAGCACTGAATAACATGACAAAAGTGAAACTGATTATATGCTAACAGAAAGAAAAAGACTCAATACTGAAGCAGACGCCATTCCTAAATTAATGATCTATCTACAGTCAGACCACTGGCTTGTAAGGGCAAAGATCAAAATTAATAGAAAGCTAGTATAATAAAGAGAAAAAGGATATAGTATGTAATTAAAATAACTTGATCCTAACCAATTCAAACAAGTTATTGATACTGAAAAATGAATAATGGTTGGTAGAAAGGCCAGTAATACATTATAATAATTTTATGTAGCAGTTACAGCTATGCAAATTACTAAATAAATAAATAAATAAATAAAGACCAAATGGACTTACAAAGTGCCATGATCTGCCAACATTTTATTCATTTACCACTGGCTACTAGAGATAGTAGCCAAAGGCAGCACCAGTTTAGAATATAAACTCACTTCTGCAACCTTACAAAGAAGAATAGTGGAAGACTATGAGTATTACCATTTCACAGAGCAGACAACAGCAGCAGAGGGTAAAACCAATTTAAGGACACCTTGGCAAGACATCTAACCAACCAAAGCCATCCTGAGGGTATTTAAAAATGAAAATGGAAGGAGGGCAACATGGAAAAAAAAACCAGAAAAGATTTTTTTTAAGTAAAATGTTATTGATATCCTTTATTTATATATTATCTACCCAATATATCCCTCTCCTCTCAACCTGCCAGGGAGCAATCCCTTTTAACAAAGAATACACACACACACACACCCCAAAATATGTATGTTTGTACGTGGTCTAATATATAAAGATACAGCTCCCAGGTGACATGGATACACCTAATCTAGGATCTAGCCCACCTTTGGGAAGAATTGCAGGTTGGCCATGTTGGCACTACCAAAAGCCTAGGGGTAGGGAGATAGGCAGGATCCAGAGTCATGGAGGCCTGCAAGGCCTGGTGGCCTCTCCTGTTTTTAAGAGGGATATTATGCTATCAACCACACCTCAAATATCTCTAGTCTAAGGGTATAGTTGTAAGGGATTCTGAACAAAAGCTGGTTCTCAGAACCACTCTCAAGGAATGGATTGCCCTTAGTTTAAACTCATCAGCCTAGCTCCTTCCCACCAAACGCTGGGTACAGAAAAGACCACCATGAATAACTAATTTTGTTGTTCAGTTAGGCCCATAGCATAACAATACTGCCCATGGGGTTTTCTTGGCAAAGATACTGGAGTGGTTTGACATTTTCTTCTTAATCCAGTGAATTAAGGCAAATAGAGGTTAAGTGACTTGCCCAGGGTCACACAGCCAGTAAATGTCTTCCTGACTCCAGGCCTGGCACTCCATCAACTGAGCCAACCGGCTGCCTCCAAAAAGCTGCCAACAGAAACCAGAGACGTTAACAGAGATTAGACTATACAAAAGAACACATGCCCAAATGAGCTCTTCAGTTGGGAGCAAGAT